GGCGGGGTTGAGTGTGGGCGGGGTTGAGTGTGGGCGGGGCCGGGCGGGGTTGGGTGTGGGCGGGGCCGGTGGGGCGGGGTTGGGTGTGGGCGGGGCCGGTGGGTAGGGGTTGGGTGTGGGCGGGGCCGGTGGGCGGGGTTGGATGTGGGCGGGGTTGGGTGTGGGCGGGGTTGGGTGTGGGCGGGGCGGGGCGGGGCCAGGGCTCAGGCCACGCTCTTTGCAGACACCCAAATGTGGATCTGCAAGCCCACGGCCTCCAACCAGGGCAAAGGCATCTTCCTGCTCCAGAGCCAGGAGGAAGTCGCCGCCCTGCAGGCCAAGACCCAGAGCATCGAGGACGACCCTGTCTACCACAAGCTGCGGCTCCGGGGGCCTCAGGCGCGGGTGGTGCAGCGGTGCGGAGCGGGCGCCCGGAGGGCGGGGTCTGGGCGGGCTGACCCGGGCCCCACTGCGCGGTCAACAGGGCCGCTGAGGAGCCCTCGGCCGCGGAAAGCTGCCGCACCCCCAGCCCTGGTGCCGACCACAGAGGGGAGGGGCCGCAGCAGGCAGGGGCCACAGACACAGGACCCAGGGTGGAGGGGCTGGTCAGTTTGACCCTCGGCTGGGACCCTGCCCCCCAGTCCTGCAGTTGGCCTGGCCTTGGTCTCCCGGCTGCCGGCCCCCTGCTCCCCAGCCCGGTCAGCCAGCTGCAGCCTTCAGGTCTGTGGCCAAGCTGACCACTCCTTCCCTGCTCCAGAAAGCCCCGTGGCTGCTGGAGGCTGAAGGTCTAGACCTGTCGACCTCACCCCTGGCCCGCGTAGAGCCTCGCTCTGACCACAGCTGCCGTCCGCCGCCCCCAGCTTCCATCGGCTCCTCCCTGGGGTCCCTCCACCTGGCAGGCTCTCTCAGCCCAGCTCCCCCTGGAGCGCTCCTCTGCCTGGCGCACCCCGCCGACTGCCTGGCGCCCCGCCCCCAGCCGCCTGGCATACTCTTTCCCCTCCTCTCCAAAGCCACTTCATGCCCTCCTCCTCCTCCAGGCAGCCCTCCAGTCTCCTATTGCTGTTACGCCCTGGGGCAGGGACCAGGGTGCCAGGCCCTTCCTCCCAACTCTACTGACATGTTCAGGCCCAGAAATGCCCCCTTTCCCTGGAGGTCACGCCTGGGGCATAGGCAGGGAGCTGAGGAAATGGCCCAGGCCGGGTGTGGAGTTCGAGGGGACCCAGGCCAGGCCGCCCGCGGCTCAGCCCAGCAGCCCCGGTGCGGTGCCCCCAGGTACATCCAGAACCCGCTGCTGCTGGACGGGAGGAAGTTCGACGTGCGCTCCTACCTGCTCATCGCCTGTGCCGTGCCCTACATGGTCTTCTTCGGCCACGGCTACGCCCGCCTCACCCTCAGCCTCTACGACCCCCGTTCCAGCGACCTCAGCAGCCACCTGACCAACCAGGTAAGACTGCAACTGGTGAGGGCCCTCCCTGCAGCCTTGGGATGAATTTAGAGGAAGGTTCTCACCAAGAGGGGGTGCAGAGCAGGTGCAGCTGCAGACGGAGGTGGCCCAGGCCCCGCGGTGGCCCAGCCCCAGAGGCTGCCTGGGCTGCCCCCACCTGCAGTCAGCACTGCCTCTCACCTCGCTCTTTCCGCCGTGGCAGAAGAAGGGCATGGCTGGAACCCCTTTAGCTGGTGAAAGGGCTCAGAGCCCTGCAGCCCCCAACCCGCAGCCTGGCTCCCAAGCGGCAGCTGAGTTTGCTGAGGATGAGGTGTGGGTGGGTGGGAACCAAGGGGATCCTGAGCGGATGTCAGAGGAGGGCCCTGTGGGCAGAGGTCTCTGGGGAAGGGTCTTCATGGGAGAGTCCAGGGTATGTGCCTTATGTGAGGATCTGTGGGGCCTTCACAGCTGAGGGGGCGTCTCAGCAGATGAAGGGGTTTGCAGGAGGGTCTTTGCAGGCAGGTCATGGTAGGGGCTGGGGGAGCAGGGTTAGGAGGAAGCTGTCTCAGGTGACCCCCCCATGAGGACAGGCCCTCTGGGTTGGGGGATGCTTTCTTGGGGACCCAGTGAGGACAGGCCCTCTGGGTTAGGGGATGCCCTCTTGGGGACCCAGTGAGGACAGGCCCTCTGGGTGGGGGGACG